AAAACAACCCATGTAAGGAGTACAAGTAACCCCATTTCGGAGTGGTTTTAACTCCAGACTGGGAGTAAAAAGAACTCTTTTTCAGGAGTAAAAATGACCTCAAATTCGGAGTTAAATTAGGAGTTAAAATAACCCCAAAAAAAGGGTTATCCTGTACCTGAAATTTTGGAGTTATAATAACTCCCTAAAAATTACGGTGCATGCATCAATCTGGTTTTTCAAATGCCAGCATCCATTTGTGGATAAACTGCTGTTCATAACCAAGCCCACTGTGTCCAAAGTTTAATCATATTCTGTAATTTTCAACCTATCGGCCATCGCCTTGAGAATTTTGCCTTGAGTTTCTAAAGTGGCTTGTAGTTTAAGTATGGCTTGCTCTTGCTTTTCTTGTCTTAGGTGCTCACGAGTGTAAAAGTTGTCTTCTGAGACCCCTTCTCCATTTCTGTTATAACGAAGCTTGTCCATAAATTCTTCATCCCCACCAAAAATAAACCTTTCGGATAAAAGAAAGCATCATGAAAGTCACTTTGTTAATACATTGCAGAGCCCAATATTCTAAAGTAGTAGGGTTCCTGTCAGTGCCTCTTTGACCTCTTTCTAGCACGCTACTTAAGGGAAGGTTAGAAAGTGTTGCACCGACCATACGTATTAAAACTTAAGAGTGATTTTTACTCAACCCATGAAACACTATCTAACAATTAGTGCCAAATATAATGTTTAGCAAGCATTCGAAAACTCATTAATAATTCATAAGGCCATCGACCTATCAAATGTCCGATAATACATCACGTGCAGTGGCATTATATCTGATAAAACGTCCTCTTATTAGTACGCGGTACAGTAAAAACCCGCATGTAAGAACCTAGCAGTTTAAGAACCTGCTGGCAGAAATTTCCCATTTTTATACCCCAAAATATAAGAACCTGTTTAGCCAAGCAAAATTTATTAGGTTCTTATATGTGAGTTATGGGATATTTTCATAAGCATTTTTAACTAAGAAGTATAAGATACTTTGTTTATAGTGTATATAATTGTTTAGTTAGTCTTGCACAAGGCTCATGACAAGACAGTTATAAATAACTGCTGTATCATAAAGGATCAAACCTATTTTTTCTGCTTGTACAGGAATGGTTTCTACTGAAAACTTAAGAACCTATAAATTAAGAACCTACTTTAGCCTAAATTGCCAATAACTGCCCCCAAACATAAGAACCTGTTTTGCCAAACTTGGAAAAATTTAGGTTCTTACATGCGAGTTTTTACTGTATTTTATTAGATATAATGTCACTGCACGTGACTTATGAATATCAACTTCAGGACAGCAACTGACACAACAAATGGTTGGTGAATATTTAATGTTCTTTCAAAGTAACACACGCAGTGAATTTACTGTTGCACAAAATTAAACTTTGTTCTTTCACCAATTTATATTACTCAGCCAAAAGTTCAGTGACTCAGCGGTAATATTGGCTATAGCAGTGTCCAAGTGTTGCAATCAAGACTTCGAGTATTGGATTTTTGTTTACCTACCATTCGGCAATTCCAGAACAATATTTTCGAATACTACTTTTTCACTGCACTTGTTGACTATGTGGTACCATTTTCGATTACCTTCCTCTCTTCCTCGGCATGTTTAGGCTTCCGAAAAGCTCTGAAACAAGACGCCATGTCCTCTTCGGTTAGTGTCGTTCATAGACTGGAAATTAATTTCGAAACACGTGTGAGATTTGATTTTTGCAAGATAATTTCATACGTAATGTTTTTTTTTTCGAATGCTAATTTCCAACGTTCAAAAAAAAGTCATGGATATCAACTCCATTGAGACACGCTTTTCCAGGAATGTCTCTGCCGCTCCTTTATTAAAGAAAACAATGATAAATCAGAGTGTTGTGCGTAGTGGTCTACTGTCCATTTCACGATTGAGTAAAATCACTCTCACTAAGCAAACTGGCTATCAGATGCTTTTATTTCTCTGATTCTTTTCCTTTAATACTCGCTTTGAGATTCTGTTTTTTCAGATCTTTCACACCACCTCCCTCCTTAAAAACTTAGCTCCCAAGTAAGTGAATTCATCTACTTCTGGTACTCCTTGTCCGGCTATCATAATCAGTTCCTGGTTCTTTACATTAATTCTCGTCACCTTTGTCTTTTCCATGTTGATTGTTGATCCCACACGTGTGGCTTCAGCATCCATTCTTGCTGTTTTATCCTGAATCAGCTGTTTGGTAGAGGATATTAGTACCACATCATCTGCATAGTCTAGGTCGTCTAGGTTAGATGTGAATTTCCACTTGACTTAAGACCAACCAACGGCCCTTCTCATTACCCCATCCATAACAATCAAGAACAAAAAAAACCTGACATGTTACATCCTTGTTTCACGCCCGTTTTAATGTCAAACCACTCGTATATTTCTCTTTGGTCTTCTACAGCACACTTGAAGTGTTCATAGAATATTCTTACCATTCTAATGATCTTTTCTGGGATTCTGTATTTCTTCATGTTCGCCCACATGCTTTCGCGGTGGATATAGTCGAACGCCTTTTCAAAATCTATGAAGTTCAGATAGAGTGTTGCCTGCCACTCGTTAACCTGTTCAATCACGTCCCGCAGTATAAATACCTGTTCTTTCGTCCCCCCTGCCTTTTCTATATCCCGCCTGTTCTTTCTTTAAGATAACGTCGACTCCCCTTGTTATCCTATAATTATAATAATATATAATAATAAACCTGCATAGTACCTTTCGAAAAACAGAGAGTACGGTTTTGCCTCTCCAATTATTGCAGTGTTTGGTATTTCCTTTCTTTGCTAGTTTGGTGATTAGCACTCGCTTCCAACCCTTCGGGCTCTTCTCATTCTCCCATATTTTGATGTATTCATTAGTTGATGTATTTTCTTTGCTGAAAACGCTATGTCTGCTTTCAGTAACGCTGCTGTTATGGAGTCAATTACCGGTGCTTTCCCATTCTGTAATCCCTTTACCGCTCTCACTGACTTCGCCTAGTGTTATGGTTCGCTTACTGTTATATCTCCTCTACTGCGTCGTGGACATCATCCTTCTGATCGTTAGTTATTGGGTTTGCTGGTGCTTCCCTATTAAACACCTCCTTAAAGTGTTCAGTCCATCTTGCCTTTACTACACTTTTACTATTGATGAGGTTTCCATTCTAGTCTAGAACCGTAGTATTCTGTTTGGATCTTTCATTGCACAGCATCTTTGTGAGCCTGTATAGTGTCATTATGTGTTGGCTCTTTGCAGCTTCTTCTGCTTCATCTGCGAATTTCTCCACCAATTTCCTTTTATCTGCGCAAGCTTTTATATTCCCCTTAACTTCTCTGTCATTTTCTGTGTGCTTCGGCTTTAGTTGTCTCTTGACTCTTTCTGATCTTGTGCTGAGAATCTTTTTATTGAAGCCACGCTCTATTTCTTCATCTTCCTCTGCTAATAGCCCTTCATCCTCAAGCTACTTGGTATCTCTTCCTTAGGGCTATGGTAAATGTTTTCAAGATGTTTTCACTTTTCAGCTTGGTCGTATCGTACTCAACTCTAATTCCTTTCTGTTCTTTGTTTGGTTCCACAACCCCAATTTGACTGTTGTGCATACAAGATAATGGTCACTTCCTATGTCTGCAGACCTGTATACCCTAGTGTGTTTCACTGAATTCCTAAATCTTTTATAAATTAGTACGTAATCTATCTGATTCCTGGTTATCCCATCTGGCGATACCCATGTCGTCATGCTTAATTTCTCATGACAGAGGAGTTTTTCTGTGATACCTAGCTCATTCATATCGCACAATTCGCACAACCTTTCTCCTTTATCATTTCGCTGTCCTACCCATGCTTGCGATCACTTTATCATAATCCCAGTTTCTTCTTCTCCTACTATGGCGTTCATATCTCCAGTGACTGTCAGCACATCACGTTGGTTCCTGTTCCAATTTGTCTAATACATCTTGCGATCTCACGTAGAATTCCTCTTTCACTTGCTCGTCCGCCTATTCGGTTGGTGCATAGATGTGCACAATCGTTAGTTTGATGCCTGACCAATCCTTTCAATGATTGGAGTCCACTCCATCAGGGCTTTTGCTTCACTTCTTTACTCCAGTATAACTACTTCTTCTCTATGATTTTCGTCATCTCTTCTAGAGTAAATGATGGTTTCTCCTTCTGCCAGTTGCATTTTTCCTTGCCCTACCCAGTGTGTTGCGCTAATACCCATGATATCTATGTTTCTACCGGTGATTCATTTCGCTACCTGCGCAATGTTGCCACTTTTGTACAGTGTACGTACATTCCGGTTTCCGATCTCCATGATGTTATTGGGGTGTACCAGTGGCCTATACAGTTAGGTGGGCTTTGGCCCCCGTGCACCATAGAGTCACTCCTATTGTGAGGACCGGCCACAGTGTTCCCTTGATAAAGTGAATTTTCTTTGCTTCTGGGCATGGTTTCTGCAATAACAGGCATTTACCGGAGAGGGTTACAAGCCCTCAGCCCAATCCCGAACCTGGAGGACCAGGGGACCACACTTAGTCTGGTCTCTATCCTAGTTCGACCTGTTCGGCATGGGTGACCCTACCAGGAGTCAAGGACTCCAGCCGACATAGATCTGTGGGCTAATGAGTCACGCAAACCAGTCCACCACGGTAAAGTGGTGGTTTTCGTTGAATTCATATTCTTTTGTTTACTTGTAACTATTTGGCACTAATTTTTAGACCCTGTTTTCACGGGTAAAGCAAAATTACTGCAAGACAACTTCTGTTGTCCCCCAATTTTACATATATACCCTTATATATTTATTTATTTATTTTTTTCAAGTTCAAAGGCCCTCTGTCTTAGCTGGCAGAGATTAAAAAAAAAATTCGTATGAAATACAGGCTCTTTTTGTAACTTAATACTTACAATTTCAGGGTATACTAGCTAGTGTCTAACTGTTTGCTTGGATCAACCAGGGTACTTAAAAAAGAAAAAAAACTACCTTCGTTGCTTAGCGTTCTTACCTTTTAATCATAGTATTGCGGTTTGGCTTTATTTCCCAAACACTCTTTCGTGCGCGTTGGAGAATGCACCTTGGGTAGTATTTAACAAGACTGTGGACAAGTAACGTTTGATCTATTAAGGCTCGTAAACGTGCAGTCCTCTGGATTGCTTCGATGTCTCCTACCGCAAGACCAACCTATGAAGTATCGTCAGTGATAGACTAAATTATGATAACTGTATATCGATGCATGATGGCCATGACTGTATTTCTATCTCAAACATGTTAAGGCTGATTATTGAATTATGTCACTACAAAATAAGCATTACTAAACCACCTTCTAACACAATTAATTCTTAGGGGAGACAGCTTGATAGATGCAGAGACCTTATTGTATTTTATTTATTTATTTACTTACTTATTTTGGGAGGGGGTGGGTTCATGACGAGATTGGTGAGATTGGGGAATTAATGCGGGGCTTATTACAGGATGGGGTTTAATTAAATATCACAGAGCAGAAAGGATATTTAAGCATTTCATGATCCTATTGCTGACAAGAGTGTATACATACCAAAAGGTTAACTAGTACAACAGAGACTGTCAGCACAAATGTGAAGAACAAACCAATGGTTAGCTGAGGCAAAGGCACTGATAAAGCATCACTTCCTGTAGCTGTGACGTTTTTCGAAATTTTGTCCACTAACATACCGCCGTAATCCAGTTCGCCAACCATCATTACGTGAATCTTTCCCATAGCAAACCCAAAAGTTGAGAAATAATCCTAGTCGGCAGAGAACAAGTAGATGAAGAAATTAAAAGCACTTCATTTACCAATGATATGATGGTTACCGGTCTTTGTGAGTTTTAGAATTAACTGAGTTTTTTCCTGCGAGACAAATTGTTTCATTATGTCTTCTATGTAAACGATCTTTTAGACTAGCCCTAGCTTTTTTTTTATTAGAAGCCTTTATTTCTGGTTTACAGGTTGAAAGTTATACTTCTCCAACTTCCGAGTTATTAATCACCTTTTATTTCGTGTTCTTCAAGATATCCTCTGCTGCAGATATTTAGATCGGAAAATGGGAGACAAAGTTGTGCCTTTATATAATTCAAAACCTTACCGAGAAATTAATCATCACTTCATGGCAAACGCAAAAAAGGTGTACCAAAGTGGTTATCGTTTTCTTGTAATTTCTTGTTTTTGTTTTTGTCTGCGTTTCACCTTTATCGTTGAAACGTGACAAAGAGATGCTTTCAGATCGGTAAGCGAGTATTCAAAATGATAAGATATATATATCTGCCTGGATTTGTAAAAAGGTACCTAAAGAAATTTCAAGTGCGTTTTCACAATTTGACCCTAGAGGTGAATAAAAAGCAGTTGAAAGTCGCTAGTTAGGGCTTAAAAAGGACAAATTAATGGCTGGCAATGTAGGAAAAGTCGCTCTTAGCAAAAGCGACAGATTTGTAATGAAATGAACAATACTACATAAATTATGACCTTTTAGTCTCTCAAACTACGAGGCTCATAGCGAGATGCCCGACTAAAACAGACCTAGAATCCACCTTTCTTGAGCCAAGAATCGGTTGTCTAACGCAAAGGCACTTTAACTAAACACTCACGAAGCGTTTGTATGCTTGCACACAATATTCCTAGAACAAGAGCACCACGACATACCTGATTCTGTCCGTCAACAACTTCAGGAAATCACACAATTAACCACGTTCGCGGCACTGACAAAACTATGCACAACCAACCAGGCACAATGTGTCCACACTTAGTACGGGAGAAATATCATCAAATTACTCTCGCTTTCTCTTCATAAATCATCACAGGTTAACTTTCCTGACAAGGGCGATTTATTCAAGATCCCGGATGTAGACGAGCCGTTTTGAAAGGGACATATAGAGGCCGGCCTTCAAAACAATTTTTCACTACGTCTCTGGCCTGGTCAGAAATATGCATCAAATTTTTCTCTCGACAAATAGATTCGACTGCTAAAACTTACTTTTTGAGGCCAGAGACTCGTCACTGCCCACAACGACGCTCAAAATATGATGCCTTTCCGTCTCAAGCCCGAGATCAGTGTTTCACCCGTTTAGTCAAAATGAAAAGAAATACGGTAGCATATCGGTCGACGGCAGACTTTACCAATAGTGAGACTTAATCCTTCATAAGGCTTAACGATGCCTTACGGAAAACTTTGCTGAAGGCGGCTAAAAAAAAGTCTGGAAAATTAACCGACCACGGAAAACAACTTCTACCTCTCGCCCTGATTTCAAATGTAATAGTATGTTATGATAGGGAGAGAATTATGGGCAATGATAGGTAGGGGAGGGGGATGATGAAGATCTAAACAAAATTTTAAACACGTTTTTTTGTCTACTGCAGCCTGTTAAGGGTATTTTTTACTGAAAACATCACGAGAAACAAATGGTCAAGTATTGAGCAAGCCTCAAATTAGACTGTTGCTAAAAAAATTCTGGCGGTACCTTTTGGCAAATCCAGACAATTTTAGCTCCATTAATGTACTTTCTCCCTCATACCAGTACATATTCTTACCTGGCCTGGCAGTACAACGTAAAAAACCAATGAAAATCCAACCAAGGCGACGAGGAACGTTGAAATCACTTTAACAAAAGTCCAGAGAACTTCAATGTACATTGTCACATACAAGGCAAGTCCACCAAAGCGACGGAAACATAAGGTCAAATTGACGTAACATAAAAGCAAACCTACTATCCCAGCATTCCATTGGAATCTAGCACTATAAAACTCTTTCTCATCAAACGCGATGGGGAAGACAAAAATCCATACCATCGCATACATGACCAACTCGAGAAAGTTTGAGAGATCCAGAAAGTAAGCCAACCTCATCCACATAAGCTGAATTATTTCCTTTATAAGTTGGAAAATCACGAAGATAAGAATCATACGAGGCCTTAATTTGCTCAAAGGTGATACCTTATTTAATTCTTCACCCTTTGTCCCAGATAACAGCTTGCTTTTATCTCTTGCCTCTACGATGAGACAAGAGTACACGATGACAAAGACGGTGAACAGCAAAACATTGAGAAAAGCAAATATCTTTGCGAGCATCGTCCACTTCACACGAAGTAATACTTGCGTGGCAACGTGAGTTAACAGTTTCTCTCGCTTGTGTCTGGCCATAATTGCAGGGGGAAAGTCAGCGTCTTCATCACCACTCAAGTGCGGATCAAGGTGTCTCATGTTGAACTTGACGGTAAAGTCTTCGTGCGACGGAGGCAAAGGACTGTAGGTGACACACTGATCAAGAACAATTTCTGCAACATCTGGGAGCTTTTCTATTAACTTCCTAAATGCAGAACCTTCAAGTACCTCTTCCCACCTAGAATGATTAAATATATTATAATCACGGGCACAGAAATAAGGAAAATTTCATTTATCAATAAGTGACTTTCTTAAGGTCTTCATGAAGTCGGAAAAAGCCAACAGCAGTTGGAAATGAGCAAAAAAACATTGGCCAAGGCTTAAGAATAATGATTTTATGAGGCTTTCTTTGTACCAGGCCGTGCAAGGGACACACACAGATGAGTTATATAAATTAAAAGTAAAATAAAACAGCAAGGTCTTGTTAAAAGTTGAACGAAATCCTCAGGTGCTGTGCATGTGCCAAAAGGCATTAGCAACATGCGATACCACCAGAAAGGGTTCCAGAATGTTATGAGGAAGCTGCTTTTCCCTTCAAGCTTCACTTGCCAAAATCTATCCTTTGCATCGAGTACAGAGAACACCATTGCTTTTGAAAGGCGATACTGTACCTCTTCAGTGGTGGGCATAGGGTATTGTGGACGTTTGCGTGCACGATTATAATCCTTGAGTCAATGCAGACCCTCAATTTCCTAATGGTTTCCGTACTACCACCAAATTACTAATCCAGTCAGTGGGTGACTTGGCTTTTGCAAGCACCTGCCTTTGCTCGAGTTCTACAATCTTCTTCTTCAGTTTTGGCTTTAGGGCACAGCCACGTAGTACTATTGGTGTTGAACAGGTTTAACACTCTTGTCCACTTCAATACAGTTATATTCACCAGGTAGACATCCTAGCCCAAAGAGGACATCACGGTAGTGAGCACTAATGGACTTGAAGGTTAAAAGACTTGGAGGCACTTGCACTGTTGTAGGGACTACTTTTGGTACTTCTTTCATTACAGTATGGACTTCCCCACTGCAGTCAACTGTTCAAGAACCATCTTCCTCAGAATTTAAGGTTGACAATACGAGTTTTTGTTCCACTCGTACTACTTGGAACTCAAGCATGTGATCTCTTCCTTGACGATCACAATACAGCTCACAGACTTCCATAGGACAGTCGTGACTGAACCACCACGCAGTCGACGTAGCTTGGAATCCGATTTGAGCAGATTAGGATCTCCACCTTAAACAATGTTTCAGTAATCAGCATAGCTTATGAGGTAACATGTGAAGCCTGTGTCCATTTGACAGGTTCCAGCGAGAGGGGCTTCGCGAACCACTAGTCGATCGCTTGGAGTTTTCATTGAGTCTACAGTGTGTCCCACAATTGTTATCATTTCTGGTTGCTTGTTTTTTTCTATTGCAAACCTTTGCAAAATGATAGATCTTCTTGTAGTTGGAACAGGTAAGAGGACTAACCTCTGGACACTGCTTCCGATTTTTGGGTGCTTTCCGCAACACTATTTACAAGGACGTGAGAATGTTTTTTTTCCTCCTCCTCGTTCTTCACCTTTTCTCTTTCTCTTTCATCTTCCACTTTTTGTTGTGCTTGACATAATTAACACTCAGTTCTTTTCACTGGTCAAGGAGCTGAACTGTAGATTCGTCATCAATTCCTCGGCAAGATTGTGTTCTTGAAGCATCCCAGCTCGTACACTTGAATCTGCAACTCCAAGCTAGTTGTCGATGCTAGTTATTGTGCGCAACCGTATCTCCTATGCTCTGCTCACAAGTGTTGAATTTGAAGCATTCATAAATAACAGAATGGGACCGATTTTTGTTCAATCGCTGTCTGCCACTCAAGGTGCTTGAAAACTCGGAAACACTCTTTTACCATAACAACAACGACGTAGCTACTCAAATTTCCTTGTCTTTTTAAATTAAGCCAGTAGCAATCTCGTAATTTTCGAAGTGCAAACGAAAAAGTGACCAGTTGTTCGCAAGGTGGCCGGTCATGTCCATCGGTGAAGGCTTGGGGAAATTATTCGCAACCATCAATCAATCCGTGAAAATCAGCAAGTTAACAATTCATTCTGGTTTTGAAGTTCCATTCTCTCGTTACTGGAAGCTTGGCGAGCACTTTCCAGGCGTGCTGGTCTTAACAAAGCTTCCAGTGGCTTTAACTCCGCGACGACAAACGTAAGCACCTCTCGACACCATGTTTCAGTGAGCACGCCATTTTGAGAACACAACACAACGCAACACATAGTATTATGCTAATTTTGAATAAATCTAGGTCTGGGGCGAGTGGGATAATTAATCTAGTAAGATAAATAAACACTTATAATAATAGTAATAATAATAATAACAATAGATACATCGGTTGATATTAAAAGAAAAACATACTCACTATTAGTCCTTATATAAACGTACCTCTGATGTTTCACGAGTGTCTTTGCCACCTCCTCTGCTTCCCACTCGATCGCTACATCTAGACAAGTCATGTTTACCTGATTTCTGACCGTAACATCAGCTCCTCTGTCTAAAAGAAACTGCAGCACATCCAGACGGTTGTATTTACAAGCAAGATGAAGTGGCGTGTTTCCCTCATGATCTTTTTCTTCCAATGTACTCGGCAAAAGGCAATTCGTTAGTACATTTACTGTTTTTAATGAGCCTGCCTTAACAGCCAAGTGAAGGGGCGTCATGTTGTCTTTGTCTTTAGCCGTGACGTCGGCACCCTTTGATATCAGAAAATCGCATGTTCTCCTGAAATTTAAAAAACAAGGTAGGCAAAACGAGAAAAATTGATTCTAGAAACAACAAGTCCATTTGATACATAAATTACGCTAAATGCAGATCTTTTTAGACGTTCTGTGCACCTAAGTGTCTGTTGCTAATCCTTTTTTTTTTTTTTTCTGGTAGAGCCACGCGGTAGGGAGAAGGAGGAGTTCAAGCGTTTATTGGGAAATTTAATAATAAAAAGAAGAATTAGAATAATAATTCCTAGCGGGGAAACATTATGGCACAGTGAAAGGTTTGAGCTCTGGAGTCATTTCACAAGACAAGCAGGTGGAATTTGATCGTCTGGGTGAATCCTGATAGTACTTTGTTGAGAGTGACTGACCTTTCGACAGCCTGTGCGGTAGTCATCTTCAGAGTAAAAGTGAGTTGCTCACGTCAATTGATGTATCAACTCACATTGACTATAAAATTAAAACCTTTCAGGTTGTCCAAACGTTAGTGACTGTCAAAAACAGTCCTATGTCAGGTGTTAGGACTACAAGTACTCGGACCATCATATTCCACCTACTAATAGTTTCTTCCAAGAGTTCAGTTAGCAAAAACTAAAACCAGTAAGTGAACTCCTGGATCAGGGGGCTAATCTACTCATAACATTGAAAAAGTAAGATGACAGTGGATGCGGGTGTGAGGTTAACTTAAACTACTACCGTTGATGATAATGAAGTTGGGTTTGCCGAATTTTCATTAACCCTTTAGAGCACAAAATTATAGAGATTTCGTCAACAAAATCCCTTTCCCTTCAAAGGTGAAGACTTCTTTAAATAAAATTCCTTCCATTTTCACAACTCGCTCTTTATAGTGACGGTGTCGTTTTCAGACAAACAGCTCATGGCTCTTCGTCCTCACCAAGAACTTCTGAAGCAAGGACGAAAATTAAAACAATAGCAAGGATTTGCTACTTACGCCATCATTACTTACTCGTGTTTATTACTGGCAGCCAAGTGAAGAGGTGACATTCCCCGAGCTTCCCTTTTATTCACACAGCTTCCAAAGAATGCGTACTTGGCGAGCACCACCACACAATCTAGTGAACCATTCTCGGCTGCGATGTGGAGGGGTCCCTTTTCATTTATGTCACTATCGTTAGGTGGAGACGCATCACTTTCCAGAAGGATTGTCAAAATCTTAAACAGAAATGTACGAGACAGACTAACGTCCAGCGAACGAAAAGACAGGAAGCATTATCACTGATAGCAGCGAATCAACCTACATCTCGGTTAGATGATAGGGGTCTGGGTCAAAGTAACTGATTTTTTCTTTCTTTCATTTTTTTTTTCAGGGGCAAGGGAGAAGAGAATTGCGACAGACTAAATGCATTATAAACATTATAAATCAAAACGATTTGTTTTGCCTGGAAAATGAGGGCCTTTTTGGTGCGTAAAATACAGTCCAATTCTCTTGGGTCTGATTTAGCTCACTAATTACTTAGAGCTGATCATGATCTGGACCCAAGGGGTGAAACGAGTCCCAGTGTCGGCTGGAATAGGTAGGCATTTGATGGGGCTGTTTTGGCATAATTTGCCCAAAGAGCTCTAGGATAGGCCGAATCAGACTTTGGCCAGCAGGTACTTTGGGGCTGAAATCGTTCCTTTTGGTTACAGTGTAGTGCAAACATTCGCTTGCTCTTCGATACTTTGTTTCGCATAATATTTTCTTGCCCTAAATGTATCGTAAGTTAACTAACGTTGGCACGTAAGCGTCAGTCACCTCCATGTTATCCAGTTTTCAATGATGATTTTTAGTCTCTGTCTTTAGATACTACTGGAACTACATCTTTGTCAATTAGTAGCAATTCTTCCACCGTTTTAGGCGTTAAGCTTTTTCCCTTATCAAAGGTACACAGTCAATTTACGTCCTAGTGTTATATACTACTTATTAACCGAGAGGGAGGTCATTTCAGGGAAATCTCAGGCCGAGGCCTTGATGCCTTGACTGAGCGATAGCGAGGTCAATACATCAAAGCCGAGCTCTGAGATTTCCCTGTAATGACTGAACGGACGAGGTTAATAAGTTATTTATTATATGGCTTTTTCATTATGGATCTGAACCTGCGATCAATTAAAATCAACAAAAGGTCAGCTGATAACTTTAAAAAGTACAACACCTCAGTGAGTTGTACAATTGAGCCCGAGATACGGTCATGTGACACTGGTCAGCGGATACCCTTTTTGACAGCTGTCAATTGACCATTTATAACAATGATGTCCGTAAGGATGTTCGCTATCAAGTTAAACACAAATTGTATATGCTTTGGACACCTAACTAGTAATGCCCGGTCATTACAAGAAAACAGCCAATCAGAAAGCGCGTACTGTTGTAGCCGTATACTAAATATATATATTGGTCGCTGATAACCTAAGCTTTGGCATAATACAAGTGTTAGTTACCTCAGAAGTCTCCTGTCCACAGGCAAGGTGAAAAACGTTCTTTTTATCTTTGTCCGTCATATTTGTTAAACGGTGATCTTTGTCCATTTCTAGCAGCGTTTTTAACATTTCAGACTTTCTGTACATGATAGCCAAATGAATAGCACTGTTGAATGAATTGTCAGTTACTAAAATATCAGCTCCATGGCTTTCCAACACCCTGGCAGCCTCGACTGCTCCGTGCGTCACAGCCATTAGAAAAGGCGTCATTTCCAATACCTCTTTTGCTTCCAGATCAGCCCCATACTCAAGTAAAAAGCTTACTATTTTATCGTGATTGAATGCTGCAGCGCTAGAAAAGAAGAGGAAAAGAGGCAGTTGAGCTTAAAATCCTGTGATAATAACTGTGCTACATTCAATAGTCTGGGTCACTCAGTGCAACAACACCAAGAAGTGTAAAGGCTTCTTACGCCTACCCGCGCGTTATGCAAGACTGCTAAAATTTTACAAAATTATGAAAGATGAAGTTACCCTAGAATGTAAGTAAAAACAAAAGGCGTCTTTTTAAACCATTTAACACAGGACAGAAAAGATCGAAATAAAGGACACATAAATCAATTGTTTGGCACAGAGAGAGACTTTATTGAAACTAAACATTAGCCCCCTGCCCCCTGCCCCCAACGACGAGGCAGGCTGGAACGGCCCAATAAAAAAACCAGCCAAACAAGTACGCGAAGATAAGGAAGCCGAGCACAGAGAGTGAACCATCCCATCGGCGATCTTAAGCTTAAGAAAGTACGATGTATTATCATAAGGCACGTTTTAGCCTGAGGATATAGCTAGAAGCCAGTATTAATTTGTTCTTCGGTCATCACTGTAGGTGAGATACGAGTCAACCAAAACACCCAAGTCACTGTCAACTGGGGAAGGTTTGATTTCTTTACCGACGGAATACCGATGACAATGGCACACATCGAGCTAACTGTGGGATCTTAACATCCAGCAGCCTGGTTTTGTTAGGTTTTTTATCAACAACGAGTTTATGTAACACCATCTTGAGGTCTCTGAAAGTTCATGACTGAGAGAACGAATACAGCGTCACTGACGTTAACAGGCGGGAAAGAGCTGAAAGAAACTTTTTGCCCTCTACATAGAGAACATTTCAAAGAACACTATGCTACACGTGTACCGCAACTTGAAATGCCACCAAAGCGAGCTCAACCAGAGAATTTCCCACACTCAGAGAATGTTAAAGTTACGGTGAACGAAGATCCACCAACATTAGAGGAAATGGAACATGTCTTAAAGACATTTAAAAACAACAAAAGTGCTGGAACAGACAAGCGGAAGACTGAAGGCTTGAAGTTATTGAGGCAAATGGTTAATGGTGGTAGGAGTAGACTCCCAACCCCTGAAGACGCAGAGGATACAGAATTCAGACTCCGATGCACCAAGACAGACATTCTACACATAACAAATAAACAGTCTCAGAAATGTGATCTGGAGCCAATATTCAAAATATTGGTCATGTTTGATGTTTGACGTTGTCCAAACACTATGCTAACAAACAAGATGCTGTTTGCGAAGTCTAGGCCGCCATACAAACGGGACCCTTGGATAAATATCGCTAAATTATTAAATGTCCCCATTAAGCTGGCAAAGAGGTCTACACAAGATAAGAGTGGTTTCACTGCACTGGTCGACCGTGTAGTCGCATGTGCAACCCCACGGTAACAGGTTTACCATCTGGAGGACTTTAACTGTACTGTAATGTATACCCCATCTAGTTACAATGGTTAGGAATTAAAAGTAACTCGTTTTCGTACATCGTGAATAACACCGAAACAGAAAATAAAGCCCTGGGGCATGTGAGCTGTCAAGAAAAGGTGGTCTGACAGAACACACCCTAAATTGACTACTGGCACTTGTTTAAGCAAGGAAAGGTAGTCTGCAAGCCAAACGTATGCAGCGTCAGACACTCTCCACCGGAGAGGAGGTCAAAATGAATGACACAAAAGGCTTTAGACAATACTTTAAAACATCTAGAGACTTATTTCTAGTCCATTTTCTTTCCGCTCATTCTTGATGTGTAATATAGAGTAAAACAGTTTCCATGGAATATTGTTTCCTGTTTTGCCGTTTTTATCTAGAAAGCTCTACAAATTGCAACTTATTTCCAGCCTATAAACCCAAAAAACAATTGGCAACAGAGACATAGAACAAATGTTTACACGAATAGGAGTTTTTCCATAGAGCAGAAACAGATAGGTTACGTAATTATACCTATGAAGCGGTGTCCTTTGTTTACCATCCCTGACGTCAGCAACTGCTCCCCACATAAAAAGAAGTTGTACCATGGAAAAGTGGCCCTGTTTCACCGCTAAATGGAGCGGAGAAGCAGATTCCAAGAAGTTAACGGCCTCATGATCCGCGCCACGGCGTAATAAAAGCTCCCCCACACCTCCATGTCCTCCGATGCAGGCGAAGTGAAGAGGGGTATTGCCTTCTGAGTCTTTGAAATTTACAAAATCCTCTAGCGTATGTAACTCTTTAGAAGCTGATTATAACAAATAGATTAGCTATAATTAATAACCCTCACCCTCAGACGTACAATCTAATCAATTTAAATTATCAGCAAGGAAACTTCAATATTTACTCGATTTTGCTTGTACTTTAGGCAACTTAAAAAGTTTTCAATGGACATTAAATTCAGGTATTATAAAGTGCACTGATCAATTGCAGCCGTTTGGAATTTTTAAGGGAGATGGAATAAGGGCTAGTTAAGGCAAAAAATATACCCCTTATTTAGGAATTCCAAGAAATCACAAAAATCGTATGAATTTTTGTAAAACTGGCGTCTCAACCCTCCTCAGTCCGGGACGGGGCTTTTGATCTCCCCCTCCCGTCGCTAAAAAGTCAAGTAAATTACCAAACTTAGCGACATTTCCTAAAAATTATCTGGGAATATTTAACGATTATTCTTTGAAATCGAGGTGAATAGTGGCTAAATATTTGCCGAGTCGCGAAAGCGGCGAGGTAAATATTTCCAAAGTATATACACACGAAGTGATCTCAACAAAATCAGAGAGGAAACCATTAAAAAGTACAATCTGATTGACAGATCGTAAGTTTAATAATAGATCTTTGCAGAATTTTCAAACATGGCAATTCACAAGTTTATCATTTCGCAAACAACAGCTTAATGGCTTAAATGGAACCGCTAAAAGTTTGAACTGTTTCCTTACCTGAGAAGAAAAGTGGAGCTTTGTTGTTTTCTGTTGACTCGCCAAGTTTATAGCCAAAAGGGCTTGTTGTGTCGTTCTTCGCATGAAGTGCTGACAAAAATGGCCTGCTCGGTTGCTCGAGGTAAGACGTCGTCTTCCTGTATCATTCTTTTTCCTGTTTACTTGAAACGTAGAATTTCTGCAGACATTTCCTTTTAAATTTGTTTGTCATAAATAAACTCCGATTTTTGAGCCAAAATTTTCTTGTTAGAAAACGCTGAGTTCACGAAACGGCTTCTTCTACGCGAATACAGGGGAGTTGTAAACAATCCATCGAGCACAAAACTCAGCTATAGTAAATTGAAAAACGCCGTATTGAATCCTTCCAAATCCTTTCTTGCCTTAAAAAAAGTCAGCGCTAGGATTTTGTCGACTTTTAAAAGATTGTTCTCTAAAAAAATGGGAAAAACACCGAGCTCACACATTATCCACTCGCCAGGAGGTGAATATTGTTGAATAGTCCGAGATAGCGAACCAATCAGATTGCTTAAATAACCAAGATCACTGAGTGTGTATATACTAATTAAAGTTGGAATACGTGTACATTAACTTTGACGTTACCGTGGCAAACGAGTTTTGAGAGCCATGTTTTTAATTTGGCAATATTTCAACAAATTTATTATTTTTTTAACTGCTGGTGTAATCCAAGTTTTTCGGTGACTGATTTGAGAAAAAAACATGAAGTCAAGGCCTTTCTCTCCCTCGCCCTCTCAGGAAGCTAATTAAAGCTCTGTCTGAATAGGGGTAAGGCAAACACCCAAAGACAGTCTAAGAAGCTTAGAGCATCTCTAGAAATAATAACATCATTATATATTTCCGTCTCTATGTAGTCATGATACATGTCCAGCAAGATATTACCTGTTTCAATCAGTAGCTCACAAACCTCTTTATGCCCTTGAAATGCTGCAATGTGGAGAGGAGTGGTTCTTTGCATCCAGTGGGTAGTGACGTCAAACCCATGTCTAATAAACAACTCGCATACTTCTCGACTGCCATTGATACAGGCCATAAAGAACGGAGTTATGCTTTTATGGTTTAAGTGATATTTTACCCTCGAATCTTTGAGCAGAAGAGTGCATAACTCCACGAGCCCTGTACGTGCAGCTGAATCCAGCGGTGTCATTTCGTTATTGTTTGCTATTATTGGGTCGGCGCCTCTTTCAAGCAAAAGTTGAACAATCTCTGTTCTCTCAAACCTAAAATCAACCAAACCGTGCGTCTGAGAATCTGCATAGGCTAACAAGTTAGGCTAACAAGTTTTCAAAAACCACAATTGCAATCCGTTTCAATCTTCTTCATGTTTGCCCATCCGCACCTCCTTCTGTATTTGCTGGGTGAATTGTATTTTCTTTTAACGTTTTGAAGGTTAGTTTTACGTTCACCCAATTTGTTGGCAATTTCCGCTATTTGATCGAAGTTTTATAAATTTCGTGACACATCTCCTTTAATTGGATAAATTGTTTCATCGTGTAGCGTTTTCGATGACTTGGAACTAGGTTTTGATCAGTAAGTAAGCCAAAAAACAATACTTGTTCATATACAGTGTTTTTTGTAGGAGTTATCAAAGAATGGCGGGTAATTCTATCATGAACAGATATAAAAAACAACAACAACAACACAACTAAATAAATTACAGAGAACCATTTTCAATCACCAATACTTTCTCTGTCCCAACAGCTGAATCCTTCATTCATACAACTGAAAAAAACATTCTGGCATGCATTAGCACTCTTGAATCAGCTAGTGTGAAGAACCATTAGATGTTTTCCTAAGCCCTTTACTTGAACATTTTTTACGCACATACCTCACGCCAGCATGAAGTGCCGTGAATCCATCTTTGTCTTTCAAATTGATATCCGCACCATAATCTAACAAAATTCTGACAGTCTGAATCTTATTACCACGAACAGCTCGATGAATAGCAGAGAGACCGTCGCGATCAATTTTATTTAAATTCTCCATTTCTTCTAGGGCATCATTGTTAAAGTCCAGGGGCAAGCCATTTTGAAAATCCCGGTTCGTTTGCATTGGGTGAATCAATTTCCTTCTTATATTAGTGCTTCCTGGGTTCGAAAGGAGTTCGATCGATTCACTGTAAAGCAAAGGTCCCACCTTAGAAAGGGACATATTACTGCCTTGCGTACGCATCGAAGAAAGTTCGGGACTACCTAATGAATAAAGGAACAAGACGATCATTAGGTTATAATCTTGATGAGCACTTCAACACTCTTCTTTGGTGCCATATCTTAAATATCATCATCATTATTGTCTATTTGGGTTGGCTGTTCTCATGCCGACATGCATCACAAGGAAGCGAGTCATAACTAATAACCAGGGGTCCCTTGGGGACATTCTCCTGGAGTCCTCGTACTTAGAAGTCAAGCTCCCTTCTCAGAATCCTGGCTGTTCCTAATCGCGTGGTTTTCTGTAGCAGTCCAATCCTGACCCTTATCCCAGTTTTTACACTCTCCTAGCTGGTACTTAGTACTTGCTACATCATCAGTATTATTGCGGGGTTGTCAGGGCAACACACTCTTTGGTTGGTTTTCTTTCGTGCTCATCGTTAAGAAAGAGATCAGCTGCAGGAATAGCTCAACGGAGATCAACCAAGAAAACGATGCGGGAGGGTCTGTCTTCTTTCCTTCGCCCCTTGCTCTGTTTTTTTACGTCTGAGCTCAGGTAAGCTTTCACGCGGCAGTATACTTTAATACTACTCACAAAACGCAAACGAAGGACGCACAGGAAAACCGCCTGTTACACAGACTAGGGAAGCACCCCGAGAAATTTTGTTTTCCAATTTGCAGGCAGTAGATTGCACCGTTTTAGAGTCACGAAATAACATAGTTGCGATCGTGTATAATTTGCTTAAAAAATTTAATGTATTCATTTCAATTTTATTTTGCAAACTAGGCGGCCTCTTAGATGTTGTTAGCATTGGTCGAGAGCCTAAATACCCCGGCTGGAAATAAAAGCTATCGGCGCCGTAAAATGAAAGGGCCAATATCGTACCCGAAGTAGAAGATATAGCTTACTCAGTGAATTTTATTGTTTCATTTAGATGTACAAAGTTTCCTATTTAACAAACGCCACTATAAAAAATAAAAAACGACATTCACTGCCCAACTGAGATCTGCAAAATATCGTTATTTCGTCTTTCATTCCCTGGGCTGTGGCTATTTTGACTTTTACATTCCAGCTTTTAAGCTGCGAGGATATTCAGGGTGTAAAATCGAGGAGATGATCAACTGATTACGTCATTTGGTTTACCAGCTGCTATTGAATGACATATCGTATTAGGAACATGATCCTTAACGCAATATAATGTTATAAATCAATCGCTTCTTTCAGTAAACGGATCAACGATTTCTTTACCTCTGTTACACCTTGCACTTTTAGCGAAGTAAAACTCACCTCAATTCTTATTGCCCGGTCTTTCTTTTGATTTTGACTGAACTTTGAAAAGCAACCAGTTTTCTTGACTGGGATAGAAATTAATATAAATGCAAATGCCGAAAAATTACTTGCATTATTTAAATTAATTATTACACCACCTAAACTCTTGGTCTTTCCAAACAGGTTGCTTGCTCAAAATTGTCAGCATTTCGTATTTTTGTACCTCTAGACGACAGCGTTAGAAAGTACAGAAGGAAATTGTGTTACTGTAGATTAATTTTCCGTCAGTCAATCGATTGTTTCTCACCGGTGCACTTTAGATATACAAGAACCACAGAACGAAGGTTAAGATAACAGACCTACCTTTCCCTTTGTTGTCAGCAATCGAGTGATATATGGACGACATCAAGCTTTTTATGGCAAAGCTAACACCAGTTCATCACTCATAAGGTCTCAGTCATGAACGCACCGAATTTGCGTCAAACAGTGTAATCCTTATTATTTAAATCCAACCGATGAAAATAAATGATAGCTTATGACGTGTCTAATTAAATGTTAAACAGGGTAAAATAACTGATTAACGAGAAAGCAGTTATCTAGAATTTAGTAGGTACTGTGGCACGTGATGCCTTACGTTTTGGTTATGGTTCGTGCGGATGAGTTACATTGTTTTCAGCTATTTAACTAATCATGGCCATAATAAAGAACACGTTCACCATGACATTGATCAGCTCTACCAACTGAAAGTGTCACTTGGCAACATCAATATTTGAGACAACTTCCCCTACAAAAAATAAAAAGAATTCCTCGGCGCAAACTCCAAACAGTTGACATTTGCTGGAGGATGTTTTAGTTTTGTTTTTCCCTTTATTACGGTAGCATGACCATTCTTTTTGGAATAAAAGTTTTAATTACGTGCTAATTTAAACCTTGACAAAAATCACCCTTTACGTAAGAATGAATCTGATGAATGTACGCAATAAGTCGAGCGACATACAAGGTCATTGCGTAAGTAGATGATTTAATTGGAAATACCTTCTCTCCCTCGCTCGCCACAGCTTTAGTTCTAATAAGGAATTAGCTATTTGCATTGATTTTTATTACCTGTTCGTTCTTTTATTTGCCTTTCAAGGGCTTTATTTATAGATGTCAGGTGACATCATTATTTCAAGCCTTTTAAAACACTGGGGAAACCCTCCTTTACAGCGTGCAAAGGATTTTTTTCCTTCGAGTTTAAGTCGTACTGTTTCCCTCGATATAGAGAAAGGACAACGGCACGCTTAAAAATTGGCAAGAATCGCTCTAAAATGACCAAAAATGCCAACAAGAAGCAATAAATGAAAGACAGGGATAAGGCACCGAGTTTTACAAACGCATTGTTACGCAACAATAATTCTCGCTACCTTTGTTTTATTTCAGTACCCCATTTACCACCGGGTTTTTACTGCAGTACTCCGAGCGGCGTACACAACTAGGCTTTTTTCGTGAATGGACGTACAACTTTCGAGACTCGATCGAGCCATTTTAGTAAATTTATTTGTGATTTCTCAATACGCTGTTGTTCTTAAATCACCACACTTTATCAATTAATAAATATATTAAGCCAAGCCTAAAGCGGAGCTCCACTTACACGTTTACCTGAAGCAATTGTAAACCATTGCAAATAAATTCACAAATCTACTTCAGGTATAACAAGAGGTGATATTGACCGTGGTTTGCGGATGATGGACCTGATTTATCTTTTCTCTCCGCGCGATGTTCACTTTGTTATTGATCGCAACGTGTTGAATGCTCCGCTGGTTCATTTTCTTCAGGCCATGCTGTCAATGTGCTGTTCAGGACTTTAAAAGAACTGTAATTACTTGTGATTGGTGTATTTCGAACCTCAATCATGATTGGTGGATTTCTATCTCAAGTTTTCACTCTTGACATTTCTCTCTTTTAAGAGTGAGAACTCGCTGACGATGAAATAGAAACTCCAGATATGTTTATGTAAAACCCACGTATTGTTGTGTGAAAAGATCATGCTTCCTGATTAATTTGAATTTTAATCCTACTCAGTAATTTTTAACCTATCGGCAATCGCCTTGAGAATTTCGCCTTGTGCTTCTACTATGGCTTGTAGTTTAAGGATGGCTTCCTCTTGCGTTTCTTGTCTCAATTTCTCGCAAGTTCCGCGAAGTTCGTCTCCTGGACTGCTTTCTCCAGTTCTGTAATTGAGAAGCTTTTCCATAAAATCTCTATCTGAAATATCATTGCCAGCCAGAAAAATCCTTTGGGATTAAAAGAAGCATTATTGTAAAGCTCTACATCAATAACTAATGTAATGTTTTAGTGATGCATAGTAAGACTGTTAACAGGGGACAGAGAAGTCGTTTCTAAACTACCGGGTATGTGTTGTTGTTGTTATTGTTGCTGTTTTTTAGAATGCAGTGAAACCTGTATTAGACGGACAACCACGGGACCTTCGCTGGTGACAATCGATTTCTGTAATTATCAAATATCACATGTTAATTTGCTTTAGACTGTTAGCACCGCCCTATTTTCCTGTAAGATCGTCCAGAGCGATTAATGCTAAAGGCGGCCATTTTGACGGAGTCCAGCATATGGCTATTTCAACTAATTAGGGAGGAGGGGATGATTTGGAAGGAGAAAAAAAATTCTACTTTTCTCCCCTCGCTTCCCCCACCGCTATAAAACCCGATGCCCTCCCCTCGGTACATTTGAAACCAATTACAAAATGGCTACCAGTGACGGTGAGCGCTTGATCTCGACGATCTGACAAAAAAAAATTGGGGATTGTGAACAGTCTAAATTTGCTTTAGGTCAAAACAAAAATGCATCCTTTGGCAACACCAAAAGTTTCAACAGCTCCTCTTTATTTTACATTCAATGGTGGGAGTATTACGTTTGAGAAAGTAACGAGATTTGTGCATTTAAATTTTTTAAAGTTGAATAACACTACACGACCAAGAAAACGTGATGTCTTTGTAGATGTATAATCAGAACTACTAGACAAACGTACTTGCATATTTACCCTTTCACTGTAGCGTGTCTGTCTGGCTATGTTTACATGACAAGGTCCAACACCCTTTCCTCCTTTTACAATGGATGGTGGTTGAATTGATTTCGAGGATACAACAAGGATTGATGAACATTTCAAGTTTTGTAAAGTTGGATAGTACTGAAAGCCCAAAAAACAGCTGTCTATGTAGATACCATTACGCAGTAGACAAATTTGCTGTATTCTCACCTTTTAACCATAGTATTACGGTTTGGCTTTATTTCCATGTCTCTGTCATGTGCATAACGGAGAACAAACCTCGGGTAGTACTTTACAAGCTTCTCCACAATTAACGTTTGATCTATTAAAGATCGCAAAGATGCTGTCCTTTTTATTGAATCTATGTCTCCAACTGCCAAACCAACCTACAAAACAGGAAACAAAATTCAATAATTTTCATGGCGATGATGATAGTAATACGATACAAAATGTACGCACATTAGAAACAAGCTATCAAGCACACTTCACATCATGCACGGAGTACCGCAGGATCTCAATTCTTGGACCCTAGTCTCAGAACTCTTTGCATGAATAGTACTTCAAAAATACTGTAACACTCCCTCTGCTTTCAAACCAAAAAGGCTGTTGGTTTCGTGATTCCAAGTAAAGCACATGTTATCCAATTTTGAGGTTTAACCATTTTTTTGTGAGTGTCGTTAAGATGTTTGCCCAGATATCATACAGAAATGGAAGCGTTGAAACTTGAAGATTTCGACGCAGATCAACGTTGTCTCAGCTCAATTATATCATATGTTGTGACCTCACATGGCTGGAAATACTGCTTCATAAATTAAAAAAAGGGCAATTTGAAATCCGCGATTTGGATATTCGCCACTTGTCAGAAAAACTGCCAAAATCGGGTCAAGATTTAATAGAAAGATGGGGTCATGGTGACGTGACCAAAACTCGTCACAAGAAGCATTGTACTTTATAAAAAAAAAAGCAAAGTTAACGAACAAACAAATTTTTCATGCAGAATTTCAAATGTATTAGCGTTTCTATTTTCTTCCATTGTCTGAACACTCGTCTGGTCACCCGTCCTAACAACACTACCCCTTACTTGTTGTCATCAGAACCGTATCCAGATTGTCACTTAAGAATATAATTTGTACAAAGAGTCTCGATTAGTGTTGACCTTTTTGACAAAAGTAGTTTCGCTATACCTACCAGCAGGTTGACCAGTACAACAGAGACTGTCAAGACAAAAAGGAAGAACAGTCCAATGGTGATCATAGGCAATGGTACCGTGGCTTCATTGGACCAGTCGACCACCAAAATATCAGTATAGTCTAGTTCGCCAATCATCATGACAAGGATTTTTCCCATGGCAAACAAAAAGGTCGAGAAATTACCCTGCAAGGTGACAAAAGAGATAATTCGTCGTTAATAAGGTACTTTGTCAGATATCACCTCGTCTGTTTTAGGATAAAGTGTCCAATGCCAAGTAGGTAGAGGTGCAGCTAGAAATGTTCCAGAGGTACGCACATTTTACAAGTCAACCCTACCCAGTTTTTTCAGTTGACATTTGTTCAGCTCCGTCCGTGCGAACAGCCGTACGGGTAGCGACGCCCCCGCAGTCAATACAACTGGTAGAAATCTTGCCTGCAGAGCGGGAGGTCTCGTCTCCGATCCCGATCGCTCTGGGTCTTGAAACAGCGCGGAGGAAGGCCCTTCACGCCGATCGGGTGACCCGCTGAATAGGACAATTGCACGATGACGCAATATTGTCTTACAACTACCAGAATGCTTCAGTTTGTTGTTTCCTTGTACAAATAAAGGCTTTCGGTTTTTTTTTAACCTCAGCGGGATTGACCAAATGTAAGAAAGAAAAAAAAAGAAATGGCTCCTAGAAGTTGTAGTCAAATGTCATCACCTTGAGAATGGCCTACTCTCGATCTTGTCTCCAGCAGGGCGACGTTTAATTTGTCCAGACTGAATCGACAATTATTTTCTTCATCGGAACCAATGCATTTGAATGAAGTGGACCTAAATACATCTGCACGTGCTCTTAATGATAGTGAGACTAGCACCCATTAGGACTCTCAGTACGCATTGCTTAAAGTAAACGAATGGCGCATGCCAGCTTAGTCTAGTTGGCTTATAACAAAGTGGAAAAAATTAAGAGGGTTAAAAAAGATCATGTGGAATAGCCCCAGCACCAGGAAGCAAGCATAAGTGCGCTATGCAAAAAATGTGACTTATCTTCCACGAGTGTTGGAAGAGAGACAGATAGTCATTTGGCACCTCATGTAGTAACGGTATTAGGGAGATTAAGCAAAGGCGATAGTCAATCGGAAGTGAGGCGTTCTCTCTTTTAAAATATCTTTGGGCTAACAAATATGAACTGCTAATTATTTTTACTTTCATAGAAACGATGTTTCCCCCAGATGAAATTTTGGGCAAAACCACTGGCAAACGAATGCAATAAATCGACTTCCCGTTGACGTGCGTTGTTCAAAAACGCCTTTGCTCAAGCTTCCTGTTACTACCTCTAAAGAAGGAGTCAATAATGCTTACTTTCGATCTCTCCAGTACAGTTCTTACCTGACCCTTCAGTAACACGTAAAACACCAGGCAGTAACCAATCAAAGTGATGAGAAAGGAGGTTATCACTTTAATAAAAGTCCAGAGCACTTCAATGTACATTGTCACGTATAAACCAAGTTCGCCGAATCGACGGATAGCTAATGTCAAATTGACGTAGCATAGCAGCAGAGCAACAATCCCTGAATTCCACTGTACATCACTGTATACAGCTTTGACATTCTCACCAAATATGAATGGAAGGATAAAAATCAACGCCAATACAAACATTACCGTCTCCATCCAGTTTGAGAGGTCCAGGAAGTAGGCCAATCGCATCAAAGTAAGTTGGATCGTTTCCTTTATAAATTGGTAAAACAACAAAACAAGAAGTACGATAGGAGTTGCTATTCCTAGCTCTGATGCTTGATTTAGTTGTTCGGCCTTTTTCCCGGACAGCAGTGTACTTCTAGATCTTGCGTTTAAAATGAAAATAGAGTAGAGAATGACAAAAACAGCGAAAAAAACAAGATTAAAAATAGTAAGAAACTTTCCAAGCTTCATCCACTTCACACGAAGTAACACTTGTGTAACAAGATGATTCAACAGTCTTTCTCGCTTATGTTTGGCCATGATTGCAGGGGGGAAGTCAGTATATTTATAACAATACATGTAGGGATCAATATATCTCATGTTGAACTTGACGGTGAAGTCCTCGTGCGATGGAGGCAAAGGACTGTAGGTGACACACTGATCAAGAACAATTTCTGCAACATCTGGGAGCTTTTCTATTAACGTCTTAAATGCAGAACCTTCGAGTACTTCCTTCCACCTAAAATGAGAAAATTTCATGTTGGTTTTACTACAAGTGAGACTTCTACCGAAAGTGTGGACAATGCTATAAGTAATATATCAAGATCGCAGTGTTTCATCACCAGATGAAACACCGACAAGAGAGTTGAAAATACGACGCACAGCGGAGTATTTTTGACGAACTTTGAGGTGATTGAGCTGGTAATGAAACACTGTATCGAATGCTTGATATTACTTCTCAAACAAAATGATTATTGAAGGAGAAATTAAGGATGCAAAAATGACAAGTTTTTCATCTGATGTCCAAACACACAACATTAATCTATTTTGTATTTTCTTTATGGATTATTAATGAGTTTGAGAACTTGGAAATGATTTTTAAACATTTTCGGAAAAGGAGAGTAGGCATCAAGGCATTGTAAGGGGCATGGGCTGTCAGCTTGAAAACAAGCATGCTATCTGGTACCAAATCTTTTTTTCGATCAGATCAGATAGGCCGAAGATGGGTAAAAACCTGACGAATGAACAAAAATTGCAGGAATACATGTATATGAGGAATAATCCTTCTAGTAACTTTGCCCTGTATGGAATTAGTAAAACCGTGATCACCCAGGCTATAATTTACTTATTAACTGGCGGCGCGATCTCATCGTACGTCCTCATCTCTCAGAAATTAATGATGCTTTGTGACAATGAAACTTGGAGCTTTAATATCTTTTCCAAATACGGCAAACTATTTCTTTTCCTGGCTAACATGCGAAGTAAGCCATGAATCAGAGAGATGTCATCTTGGCTCTTTCTTTTTGGATTTAGCTTTACAAAACGGACCGGGGTGGAGGCGGGTGGTCAAGACACATTGTTATTGATATGATTCTTAAAGTTACAACAAGAAAGCAGTTGATTCTTTTCGTTTCAGTTTCAGTGAATAGCCAAAGTTTACAAATAGTAGGAACAGCTTGGTGGCCGAAAGCAGCGCCTAAGTCTGTTTATTTATGGCTGATAAACATAAATGATAAGCAGAAATATTATAGGAAAGTATCCTGTTATTGCGAATTATCGAATACAGTCAGACCTACCCGCTTCATACGGACACCTCGTTATTACGGACAAGTTTTCCTTGTCCCTGGAGAAAGAAAGCCTTTACATTTTCTCTAAATTCAACCCGCTTAATACAGACATCCCGTTGGATACACAGGGGGGTACTCCGGGTTTCAAGTGTCGAGGATGATGTAAGGATTTTTTGGGGTTTGAAACTTTCGATTTTGGAATTTTTTGGGTAGGAAAATTTGGAAAGTATTTTTTTGTGTGGCTTGACCTAAGTAGTGATATATATATATATTTTTTTTGGGGGGGGAGGTATTCAAAACAATCTGAAGATTCTTGGTGGTGCCAGCGTATCCCGGCCTCGTAGTTCTGCGAGTAAAAAGTAAAACCAAACTTATTTTGCGGTTGTGGTTTTTTAAGGCTCAGAATCTCGGAATGGGATTTTGGTTAATTTTTGGTCCACGGATATTTTGGGGTTTTGTTGGAAGCCCTAGGGATGTTTTGGGGTTTTGATTTTTGTCCCGTTTGATCATCCCCGTCACTTAAAATCCGGAATACCCCCTCCCCTCCCCGATGGGGTTGGATATGAGAGATTTCTCTTAAAATGTACCTTTGATGTTTCACAAGTGTCTTTGCCACATCCTCCGCTTCCCACTCGATCGCTACATCTATACAGGTCATATTTCTCTCATTTCTGGCTGTGACGTCGGCACCTCTGTCTAAAAGAAACTGCAGCACACCAAGGCGGTTGTATCTGCATGCGAGATGAAGAGGAGTGTTTCCATCACTGTCCTTCTCTTCCAGTGTACTCGGCAAAAAGGGATTCATTAAAACAATGACTGTCTCTAAGGATCCCACCGTAACAGCCAAGTGAAGGGGCGTCACATTGTTCATGCATTTAGCTGAGACATCCGAACCCTTTGAAATCAGGAATTCACACGTCTTTCTGGAACCAAAATTTTTAACAGGAAAAACACCGTAAAAAATATATATATATGTTCATGAGCCAAGGCTTAAGGCACACTTCGACCGTGACTTCTTTTATAAGTAGGGATGGGGGATTGCTAGCTAAGAAATCAGTTTTGGTGAAATCTCTTGCCCAAAGGGAAACTATAAGAGAAAATGACAGTTTGTGGGTGAGATCCGAAGGAGAGGAGGAGGGAGGGGGGGGGGGGGGGGGGGTGGGCCCCGGTTCCCTTACCCCAAGGGGGTTTAAGAAATCCCCGGAAAACCCCCGGGGGTAAGGACAAACAAACGCTAAGAGGTGTCATCTCACAATTTAATGGGGCCACCAGAACCGCAGTTAAAAAAAATGGGGCGTGGAGGGGGGTTGCGAGGGGGGTGGGGGGGGGAGGAGAGGAGGACGGGGGTGGGGGGGTGTGGTGGGAGGGGGGGCGGAGGAGGGGGGCCGTAGGCTGATGAGACCAGTTACCTTATCCCTAAGGCGTTTTAGAAACGTCCCGGAAAACCTCCGGGGTTAAGACCATAACAAGCTCAAGAGGTTCACCTATCGATATTCATGGGTCAGCCAGAAGCGCATGTAACAAAAGATTATTTTGTTTCACTTGTTACAAATTCAAATAAATAAAAAAAACAATGTTTGTAAACAGTATACACGCAGTCTCCTGTAGGATGTATGAATTTGCCGACTGGTTACAAAACACACCAAGTTAGGTTACACATGCTTACTCCAAAGTTCCCCCTCCTCTGCGCCCGGTATCTTCCCTGCACCCCAGAGAGCATATGCAGGAAAAATGCAGATTATTATTGTATAGATTTGGGTACTTGTTTCTTCATACTTACGCGTGTTTATTGTTGGCGGCGAAATGAAGAGCTGTCATTCCACGAGCTTCCCTTTGATCTACATAACTTGCAAATAATGGGTATTTGGCGAGCGTCACCACACAATCTAGTGAACCATTTTCAGCTGCGATGTGAATGGGTATCTTCTCCTGCATGTCACGCCCTCTTACACACACTTTATTTTCCAGAAGAATTGTCAACATCTTAAAAAGAAAATTCGAGACCGATAAGTGTGCAATTTTGAAACGAGAAATGAGAGATCTCGCGAAAAAAACGCTCTGTTTTTGTTTTATCATTTTTGATGAGGTTCGTGCCCAATGCAAAATAAATACAGTAATCCTATACCTTGGTGACTTATTTATTTCAAGCACGTTTTAGAGGGGGAGGGTGCTTAACAGAGAGGGGGGGCTAATTTAATTCAAGTGCCGCGTTACCGACAGTAAAAACAAGGGAGGAGAAACGCTTAGACAACAGTTACGGTTCCCTACCTCATGTTCTGGACCAGGGCAATGACTGTATATTATGGAGATTAATGTTTACGTGGTATTCTGTGGTATAATTAATTTTCAACATTTTTCTTCACTTGTGGAAACCTTAACATTAATTTCTGAAAGGTAAAATGATAACCTAAAGAAAACGGTTTTGCCTATTCTCTCGTTCCATGAATAAAATAAATTAATGACAAAGTTAACGAAATAATAACAGAAGAATACCTCAGAATTGTCCTGTCCACAGGCCAGGTGAAGCACATTCCTCTTATCTTTGTCCTTCATTTCAACTAAAACTCGATCCTTGTCCACTTCTATCAATAATTTCAACATTTCAGGTTTTTTGTACATAATAGCCAAATGAACAGCACTATTTAATGAAAAGTCAGTTGCAAAAATGTCCGCTCCATGGTCTACCAACATCTTGGCAGATTCCACAGCTCCACGGGTCACAGCCATTAGAAAAGGTGTCATCTCCAGAATGTCCTTCGCTTCTAATTCAGCTCCGCACTCGATCAAAAACTTTACTGTTTGACTGTGATTAAACTCTGCTGCGCTGGAAATGAAATAAAAGGGTTAAAGGACAACTACGACGCGTGCGTGTTATCCACCGAATAAAAAATTCCTATTCGAGTAAATTAAATTGCAACTGAAAAGTTGAATATGGTCATTGTGAAAATGATGCCTGTTAGCTGCGTAACCCCCAAAGCATGGAACAGTTTATTACAATTGTCAATGTTCCTCTAAGAGTTGAGTGCTCTGAAATACATTCAAATCAAGTTCAATAAATATGGTTTTCTATATAAGCTATATTCACCCGAGGAAATTTTGGTAGTAAGCTCGTCCGCCCATCCGTCCGTATCACAGAAAGGCCAATCTAGCTAGTGTGGACGCCTGTGGGTGGGAGGCGATGGGAGTGCAGGGTGAAAATGCAAGACTATTAACTCGATGCAAGATTTTTGCACGTTCCAGGTCTGTTTGCGGATATTTTTTTTCTTAAACTCACCCAGCTTTTCTAAACAAAAGGGAAATGGAACACCTCAAAAGTTAAGTATAGGTTTTATGGATTTCTTTGCAACGTCTTTGAGTTAATTGTTTGAAATTTATTATGAGTGTCTTTATGGGAGCTTGGCTTTTATCATTGTCTAATCTACATATTGAATCAATTTAATGATAAAATAATAATAATAATAATAATAACAATAATAATAATAATAATAATAATAATAATAATAATAACCAGTAATGCAATGGTTAGACATTCTTCCATACGTTTACACAAGCATTACTCCTACCAAAACACGCTTTTCTTAACTACTTGTCTTTTGGACAATAATCCAGAACTTTCATTTCCGCAATAACACCGAAAATAAATCCCAACCCACTATACCTATGTAGCGGTGTCCTTAGTTTGCCATCTCTGTTGTCAGTAACTGCATTATACAGCATAAGTAGCTCTACCATTGACAAGTGGCCGTGTTTTGCCGCCAAATGGAGCGGTGAAGCAGATGCTGTGAAATTAACAGCGTCACGATCCGCGCCGTGTCGTAGTAAAAGTTCTCCCACTCCCAGGTGGCCTCCGATGCAGGCGTAGTGAAGAGGAGTATTGCCTTCTGTGTTTTTTGAATTCACAAATCCACCAAGGTCTTGCAGGGTTTTGGATGCTGTTTCAAAAAAAATTAAAGCGCTTGGCTTCATGTCATCAATTATCACAAGCTAAGAAATTGAAATTGAAACGTGATAAGTGAATATATGCACGAACCATTTTCACAGAGACCAAAATACGCTTGGCTTACTTCCCCTCCCCCACAAAGCCCCCCGCCCCCAACACCACCACCAATTTTGTCTTCGATTTCTCTTGAGACGACGTCATACCCTGCAACATTGGTTATGTAAAATTTTGGGGAGTAAACATGGTGCATTATGGTCTCGGTGAAAATGATCAATGTACAGAAAAAGGAAGTATGAAAAGTGCTTTAAATTTAAGCGTGAAAATGGAAAAATGACAATTAAAATAATAGTTTCCCAAGGATGGAGCCCGCTTGAGTGTTAAGCAAATATAACAACAAATATATGATATTTCCCAATTATTCACCGGAGCTCAGTTGTTTGAAGGCCGATTAGCACTAACTCAGGGAAAAAATCTAATTCGGATTTCTTTCTTCTTTTGCTCCAAAGTATTTTCTCGGATATTCTTTGCTATTCCTTCCAGAGCAACGAATCATAAATTATAATCATTATAGCTTTTAACTGACAAAACATCTTCACTATCCCTCGGTTATTTTTAATCAAAAAATTACGAAAATAAGCCCCGCCGCTTATATTTTTCAAAGGCTCTTTTTGAGGGGCTTATTTTTGGAGGGGCTGATATTCGGAGGGGCTCATGTACGGAGGGGAATTTGCGTTTCAAAATCGATTGGGCTGGCCTTATAGTTGGAAGTAAATTTACCGTTTTTGCTTTGTTTTACTTTGTATATTTGAGGACAATGTCCAAGTACAAGCCCCCTGGGGACTTATATTCCGAGGGGCGATTCAGGTTCACGGAAGGTTTTTTGTGTTACGAGTTTGAGGGGTTTATATTTGGAGGGGCTTATACATGGGGGGCGGGGGGGTATTTTTCGGAATTTTACGGTATCTTTTTAACCGCAATATCAACTTTTATTTTCGTACAGGTTATGTTACCTGTTTCAATGAATAGTTCACACACGTCTTCATGTCCCTGAAAAGCTGCAGTGTGCAGAGGAGTGCTTCCCCGAAATCCTGGGCGAGTGAGATCGACTCCATACCTTAAAAACAACTCACAAACTTCTCGTTTTCCGTCATGACAGGCTATAAATAAGGGCTTTAAATTTCCTTGCCTTAGGTAATTTTTCACCCTTTGCTTTTCAAGAAGAAGGATGCATATCTCCACGTCGCGGGTACGTACGGCTGAATCCAGTGCTGACATTTCAACTTCGTTCTCTATTAGTGGGTCCGCTCCCCTTTCAAGCAGAAGCTTGATCACCTCTGTTCTTTCGAACCTTAAATAAATCAAATATTTGAGAAAGTACAATGAAAATTTAATGAAATTCCGTACAAAAAAAATTGTTTTCCCCATCTAGTCCGTAAGAGCGGTCGGCAGCAAAAATCTAAATCAAACTGAAGAGAGAGAAAAAGTAGACAATGCAAACAGCGAAGTCCGGGTCGTCCTGTTTCTATTTGGTAGGTTGATGAATACCACTGCCAAAAAATGGTTTCAATTTTTGAGCCCAATGTTCGTTTCAGTAGTTCTTAAAGAAGCTGTGTCACCGGTTTCTTGGTTTATTTTTAAAACTCTGACAAAGCTTGGATCAAGGAAAAAAAGTGTATACCTTTGGCATTCTATGGCTAGAAATTTGATTACGATGAAATCAGATTAGGTACGGACCATTAGAAAAGTTATGGGGGGAGTGGGGAATTTTTGAGCCGCAGGAATTTTTTTTCGTTATCAAATTCCTTGTATGAATTTTTTTTAGGCCATAGTATGAATATTTTTTAGGGTTAATTGGCGTGTATGAATTTCTTCTTCATTTAATTTTCCCTTGCGCGAACATATTTTTTTGTACTTCGCCCCCCCCCCCCCCCCCCCCCCCCCCCCCCCCCCCCCCCCTCCCTCCGCCTCCCGCCTGAAGGCACAAGAGTGGTGTGTTGCTGCTGCTTGAGGGTTTTTCGTTTCGTGCTCGTCTTATCCCCATGCTCCTCGCTGCCCCGCGTGTCACCCTCAGCTGATGTAGTTTTGTGTGTTTTTATGTTTGCTTTTCTTTTTTTTTTTTTTAGTAATGCCGACTGCTTTGTATCTCGTTTTTTTTTTTTAAGTATTGAGGGACACCCGGGTTTTTTTCCTTTTTCCCTTACACCTCGTTTTCCCTTTATGAGTTTTTTTCTTCTTTTATTGTTCCCCTCCCCCAAAAATTTTTTTTTAATGTCCCCCCCCCCCCCCCCCCCCCCCCCCCCCCCAATAAGTTTTCTAATGGTTCATCCCTTACAACGTGAAAAAAATAGGGCGATTCTGGAACAAAACCCATTCCTGAATGAAAGACAAGGTCATTCACACGGATGGCCCTTACTGGATAGGATACATAATATAAATCCCACGTAAGAGGTGAGGTAAAAGGAACAAACTCAAAGAGCTACGAAATAACTAAGGAATTTTTCAGCACAGTTTTTCTTAATCTAACCCGGAGTCTCCTTAATCGTTTATCTTGCGGGAGATTTGAATAAATTTTCTTTCCTTTCCATTGGGTGAGGTCAATAAATCATCTTTCTTTGTCGTAGGGCAGTATGCGGCAGGTAGCAGTCACGGCCTTCGCGTGTTCACGTGTAGCAAAATCGGGGGAAACACTGCATTTTGCTTTTCCTTAGTAGTTGAAACAGAAATTCGAGGAGATACGTAGGAGAATATATTTTTTTTACCTGTTGCTTACTCCTTCTATTCTTTTCCTTTTTTGTTTCTTCTCTTCTGTTTTGTTTCCTCTGCTTAGTTTTCTGTTTTGTTGTTTTTGCTTTTGTTTTTATCAATCTCCGTCTTTTTAAGTGCGCACGTGCACACTCAAAGTACGCCTTAGCCTGCCAGATAACAAGGGCACACCAAGCTAGTATGTATCTTATTTGCATTTCCTCTATCACCCCTTTAGAAATCCGTGCATTAATTAATCCCACATACCTCACAGCAGTATGAATTGGCGTAAATCCATCTTTGTCCTTGAAGTTTATATCCGCACCACAATCCAACATATTTTTTACATCCTGGATATTATTAACACGAACAGCTCGATGAAGAGCAGATAGTCCATCGTGGTCAATCGTGTTCAAATTCTCCATTTCTCCTAAGGAACCATTCGCAAAGTGCAAGGGCAAGCCAGTTTTGACTGGTTTAAAGGCTTGAACAACATGATCATCAATTGGAGGAATAAGTTTCCGACTTGATTTCGCGCTTCCAGGGTTCGAGATGAGTTCGAGAGAGTCACTGTAAATCAATGACCGCACTTTAGAAAGAGAGGTATTGCTTCGTTGTGTACCCCCAGAGGAGGGTTTGGGACTACCTGATGAAAACATGGTGGGAAGAGGATCATTAGCACAAAGTTGTTAAATCGTATACCCCTGGGGGTATACGTGTACGTACTTTTGCTTGAATGATGGAACGCAAGATCTAACCGGCCTTCACCTGCCATCTGAGCCACTTCAGTCCAACTCTGACGATCTTTAATGTCTGAAACGGTTAGCTAACCACTGTTAATCTGACAGTTCCACAGTGTGTATATGTTTTATTATTATTATTAACATTATTATTTTCTTATCATTTTTTTTGTTTTGTTTTCTACTTTTGTCTAAATATATATATGCTTTGTTACTGTTTTTAGCGGAGCTCCTTGCACGCGCGAAGCGCGCGTGAGCGGAGCACCATAACTAAGATAATTTGGTAAACTATCCATCCGAGAAATTTTGGTTATGACGTCAGCGCACGTCCGTCCGTACGGACTTTCCGGGTAGTGGAAAGTAGTGCGCATGGACTCTTTGGGTAGGGGAAAGTAGAGATTTTTTTGGGCGGTAAATCGCATGGCAATTATATCGCGCAATTGGTTTTGAAAAAAGAAATTTCAAAGCAACTTAGCAAAAAGATTTTTTGACAGAGCCTTTATAACTTTTTATTACAACTTGCGAAAGACATTATGTCAGCAAACAACAGTAGAGAGATTTTATCGTGTAGACGACAGGTTTTAAGCAGAGAGCAAAGAGAAGGTGAACGGCAGAGAGCACGAGTCAACACGCGTAGAGCAAGCGAAGACGATCGCCAAAGAGAGCGTGTTAGAAGTAGAAGAAGAAGACAAAATTTCAGCGAAGAAAGTCGGCAAGTAGAAACTGAAAGAGTCAGGGCGAGGAGAAGGAGAGAAAATTATAGTGAAAAACACCGGCAAGCAGAACGAGACAGAGCTAGAATGAATAGACAATTGAAGGCAACGTGAAAGAGAAATAAAAAGGCAAAGAGAACCGCAGCAAAATAATGACATGATGACAGAAAGTGTTGTGTTAATGTCACTATGGCCCCGCGCTATCAACATTTTGATTTCAAACTGATCTCGGACGCGAAAATTCAGCCATTCATTTAAAAATACAAGCAGGAAAGACAGAGGCTTTTCACCTTTCTCACCATCGTCACGCGCTAATCACGCTCTACGACCGTCCAATTTTTATGTTGTGATTGGTCAAAATTTGACAGGTGAGTTCATACAGAAAATTTATTCAGCATCTTGAAACTTGTTTACTTTGACAGCTTAAGCTGACAGAGTTTTTTGTCAACTTGTGATATTTTTTACTGTCTTTTTCCACTGGATGCATAACATGAAATACAGCTGCTGTCAACAGTCTTCTGTTATTCATGGCGGGTTTGTTTATTGAATTTTTGGTTGAGAAATGCGCCAGTTGTCAAAGTTGGAAATCCTATTTCGGATGACATCGTTTTCGTTTTTCACCTTGCTGGATGCGGGTTGAAAAGTCCCTCAAGCGATTCTGGCCTTACTTGATAGCTTTCAGGAGCTGCATCTCGAGTGGTAAGCCTGAGTAATTATTGTGTACAGTGTATGTGTTTGTTTTTTTATATTTAATTTCATTAGGTTGAGCGCAGTTTATGAGGCTAGTTTATGCACGTTTGTATTAAGATCTGATAAGCTTACAGAGCTTGAAAAAGCCTTTAGTCGATATTTTCTCTCCGCAGATAGAACGAAAAAACGTTCCGAAGAGTATTTAGTTTTAATTTTGGCTGTAGAAAGAAAGCTTTGAGCGATTTTCTGTCCTCGAGTTTATTGAAAACAGCTGAAAACAGTATAAACACCAGGAAGCCGGCTTAAGCTTAAAGACTCAGGATTTTTGGAGACGCTTTAATACTTGTCTACGTGAATGAAAATTTTTGTCTCTGTAAATGTTTCACCGAATTACATTTCTTTTATTGATTGTTAGTAGTCTCTTGCAATTTTAGACCCTAATCGCTTTGCCGTTTGTTTGCAGTCGTTCATAAACACCGCTTGCAGGAGTACTCAAAGTGCCGCGCGTAACAAACGCTTTTTAAGATTACACATCGTTATAAAACCATTAAATAAAAAATTAAACACAATAAATTCTTTATTATGTTGAAGCGTAACTGTTTGAATGTTCACTGAAAATTTGGCGCTTGTCAAAAATAAGAACCGGCTGGCCGTATAGGTCGGTTTGGAAATTTTTTGAACGGTTTTGCTAAAAGCCCATGCGTGCTTCGTACGGTTCTGAATATTGAATGAGTGCAATTAGTTTTGAAAAATTGTGAAATACTGCATTTTGTCTGAGGTCTGTATGATAAAAACAGCGCCTCATCTTACTGTTTCACCTCAGATGTGATGTATAACATGAAAAGTATGAAATGTTGGTTTACACGCACCCAGAGTTGTTGGCAAGATTTTGTTAAGTAAACTTGTCCAACGCAAAAAAATTCGGCCTGATTTGTTTTCCAAGAATTCGTTTTCCAGGCCTAATCTACTGTGATCAAGAGCCATTATGGCTCTTAAATGTGATCGAAGATGATTGCTATTTTTTGGGTGTATATATACGGCTATCAATTCGATGTAAGATTTTTTTTTCACTCTAAAATCACTTAGCCTTAGCTTTCCGAAAAAAATTAACAGATGTGCCCTTATGTTAACTGATTTGTGGATTACAAGTTTATTGTTCGATTTGAATTACAAATTTATTAACAGGAGCTTCGCTTTTAGCCCTGGCTAAATCTATATATTACAATGTAAACACTGAAAGGTACGTATGTCCTTAGTCTGAATCGGCATTTAACCCATCTTTATGTCGTTTGTCGCCATTTCATCTAGCCTTATGTCGCTGTTTCAAGGCCATACCCTATTGTCGGAATTTTACCCTACCACTAAGGTCACTAAGGGACTGTTTCAGGAGAGAGGGTTACCCTTGTGCAAGGCCGTTACCTTAGCAAGCGGGTTAAAGTTTGCTCTGGTTTACAAGCAAATTTGACATTGTTTGTAACGGTCCAAAATTTAAAATAATCTTGAAGTCCTTAATTTTCTATGGAAAACACGTTAAATTCAGGAAAATAAGAAGGGAAAATATTATCATCGTAGACAGGAAATGCCTTTTTATCTTGCAGATGTTTTTAATTAAGCTCAGAAATTGGATAATACGGTTCAAATTGGCTAGATTACCTGGTCACGCATGACGGCGGAAAGTTGACCCGGGTAGGCGAGTTATCCCTAGCTGAGCGTTCTTAAGGCAGGTAGGGTAACCCTCTTGCTGGGGTAACCCAAGTAATTAGTTAGGGTTACCCAACCGCTAGGGTAACTCTACCTGCCTTGTAAACACGTCGTGTGAAAAAATAAGAAATGTGCGAGCGCTAGGGTAACCGTAGCACTAGGGTTACCCTTCCTCCTTGTAATCAGGGCCTAACAGACCCGGCTAACAGATCCTCAATACTGCGACTAATTTACTTCAATAAAGTGTGATTAGCCCAGTGAGTGGTACGACCGTACGACTTTTTCAGTCTAGTCGTGTTACACACCCTCTTTCCAAAGAAATGCCTGCACGTAGGCTATTCAGATCAGAGGCCATGTTTGCTGCTATTTTGACTTTAATTTTTATTAGCTTTCAGTCGTTAAGGCGACATGCAGAGTATTTATCATTATTATAATTAAGTAATTACGTCAAATGGCTTAACAGTCAGAGTAAATTTAATATTGAGGGTGTAAAAATCAAACATCAAATTTTAATATCCCCACTGGAAATAATGTTTCGTGAAATCAACACGTTTTGAGTTCATTCTAGAAATCAACTTTAAACTTGTTTCCAGTGGTTGAAAATTAAGTAAATCTTTGAATCCATATTGTCATATCTTTCAACTTTGAAAAGCAATCAGTGATTCATTTTTAAGCGTACGTGAGTGTCCATAACCGACTATTTCAACTGACTTCAAAACCGAGTGCTTTCACAGAGGGGCGGAAATTTGGCGTGTTCGTAGTTCGTAGTTCAAGACAGTTTTTAGGCAGTTTTAGTTAATAGCGTGTAAAATTAAGTAAAGTAGAAGCCTAGCGGGATATTTGATCATCATCCAGTCGCCGTCAAGTCAATCGACTGATACTTAACTGGTTACTTCGAACTCACGTTCGAATCATCGTTCATTTTAAAGAAAAACCTACGTAAAATGACAAACCTTTGCCATTCTTGTCAACAACAGAGTGATATGTGGACATCAAGCTGCTCATGGCGTCTCAACCTAACACGAGTTCAGTATTCATCGCTGCCATACCGGACTACACTTCGCTGATTTTGCGTGACATGACAAATTCCAATCTTTTCATGTAATTAATATAGCCGATCACATGTCTTATAATTAAAACTGTAAACAGAGCAATAATTAAATGGACCAATGAGAAAACGTTTACTAAACCATTTACAAACCAAAAATTATAATGGCTTTCGCAGTTATAACCCATACTTACATGCAGGATGCCAAAATAATACTCAAGCGCCAAGTCTGTCATGGTCGTAGTCTGCAGAATATCTGCATGGCATGGAGTTTCAAAAAGTTTTTAACTAAAGATAGGTTCGAGGAGTTACTGGGGCTATATCAGGAGGATATTTCCGTTCGTGGTCAATTCTGAGCTGAAGTGATCACTTGGTGCTTTCACGCATTCACAAAAAAGAAGATGAAAACATTATTTCATCAGAAATTTTTTACCATAACATTATTTTTAGTCATTTTTTAGGCACAGCCATCAAATCTTGCAAGCTTGAATATTCAAGTTGGCCCAACTCTTTCAAGTTTCAATCCGTGTCTATCATTGCCCCCCCCCCCCCCCCCCCCCCCCCCACAACCCACCAAACCCAAAATAAAATTTTTTATTTTTACAAAACCATAACAGTCTTCTTTTTTTATTTTTTTTTTTTGAGTGTGACAGTAGTTATTTTTTTTATATATATAAAAA